TTTATTCTGGATAGGGCATCTGCTACGATATTTTCCTTTTCGGGGGTGTGCTTGATTACCAGATTATACTCTTGTAACTTGAGTGCTTATCTTATTAACCTTGGGGATAAGTTTTTCCCTGAGTACAATATAGTTACCGCCGCATGATCAGAATACACTGTTATTGGCGCCCTTCCAAAATAGACTCGGAACTTTTGCACTGCTAACAGAACTGCAAGTGCCTCTCTCTCAGTCGCGGAATAATTTCTTTGTGTTTGATTTAAAGTTCTACTAAAAAATGCCACGGGCTGCTGATTTTGCGAAAGTGCTGCTCCCACCGCATAATCCGAAGAATCCGCTGAAATTTCTAAATTCTCATCCTTTTCAGGAAATTTCAACACAGGGGCTTGCGTTAATGCTTGCATTAATTTTTCGAAAGCACTATTGGCTTGGGCCGTCCACGAGAATCTTGCCTTTTTCCTTTTTAGTTTTAACAATGGTTCAGCAATAGCTGCAAAATCTTTTATAAAGGACCTATAATATGAACAAAGTCCTAGAAAAGAAGAGAGCTTCTTCGCCGTATTTGGCAGCGGATACTTTTGCACAGCGATTATTTTTGATTCGTCTGTCTCGATTCCTTTCTGAGATATTTTGTAACCTAAGTATTTTAATTCAAGGGCTGCAAATTTGCACTTTTCGACATTAACTTTTAGACCGGCCTCATTTAATAATGAAAACACCTGTCTTAAATCCTGTACATGTTGGTCGAGATTATCACTAGTAATAATGATATCGTCTAAATAGATAAATGTGGTCTTTTCCAAGAACCAGGCCTTAGCACAATATCCATACATCGCTGAAATGTTGCCGGTGGCCCTGAAAGGCCAAACGGCATACGCAAGAATGCATAAGTGCCAGACTTGGTTTTATAAAAGCAGTCTTAGGCACATCTTCCGGTTTAACCCCCTATTTGAAAATAACCAGTCGTTAGATCTAACGTAGTCATGTACTTTGGTAGAAGTTATGTTCCTTAGAAATTTCTTCAATAATAAGGTAACGGGTGTACCGGATATTTAGTCATGGAGTTTAGTTTACTATAGTCAATTGCAAAACGCCACCTTTTCGGATGTGTTTCTGGATAATCGTTATGTTTTCTTATATAACACAAATCGGGCTAGCATAACTACTTGAGATGGGCGTTATGTTCTTTTTACGTAACTTATCTCGAATATGCCACTCTATAATTTATTCTTTATTCTTTATCGTATCCGATACGGCTTGTGGCGAACTGGCAGTGAATCTCCGATGTCGATACTATGTTAGTAGCTTGAGTAAATCCGGGAATATCACTAAATAACGAGCAAATTCATTTACCACTTGTCGAATTTTTTGTTGCTCTTCCTTAGGCAGGTGTGGTCGAGGTTTAACGTGGGTGGTTCTGTTTTTTCTTCGAGAACTGGTTTCATGGTCAGCTTAAGGGACGCTTTGTTAAAATCCAGCGTTGCTTCTGCCTTCTGAAAGCAAATCTATCCCTAAAATTACATGTGCTTGTAGATTTTTTACGATATAAAAAACATTATGTTTACCTGCTTGTCCTTGTTACGAATGTACAGATTGGTACTTTACCTATGCACTTGCATCTTTCTCCCTGCGCAGCTAACACTGTCGTATTATAAAGGTGTCGTAAAATAAAGGTGGAAAGATTTTCGATTCGTTGCTGATATATGCTGAAGAGTTCCGTTTCTAATCTTGCACGATCTCTTACGACAGGGAAGGCTTTTACTAAGGCAGTCTTAAAATTTTCGTAAGTATAGGTGGGACTTCCCGCTTGACCCAAGAGGCTTCTGCCTATACATTTGAACCAATTAAGCGCTTGGCCCCTCAAAGCGCTTTTAGCTAAGGTGACTTTCTGGAACTCATGTACTGGATACAGCAGGAGGTGGTCATCCAATTTTTCCAAAAAACTGGTTACCGGTGAGTTTCCATTAAATGTTGCTTCTGGTTTCATCGATGCGCGCATGGTCTGGACGACGTAACCAAATCCTTCCAGGGCGGCAGCTGGCATTTCTGGATTCTGAGCCGCTTCTGCAGGCAGCACAGGGTTCTTCTTGAAAACTCGGCCATGGTTATTCTTCTTCGTTGGGCGCCACTATCAGGATTTGTGTTCCTCTTTACTTGCTTTGGAAACATTAACTTCCTGACTCGGAACAGGGAGCTTACTCAAGCTATGTTCGATAAATTGTGAAGTAGACAATACACACAGGAAGAGGTATACGAAACCCTTTATTTTTCTATCTTTACAGAGCTTTCCGGACTTCGGAATACAGAGACCAACCACTTGTGTTCTGAACGTAAGAATATAAAAATACTAACTAAAACTCTAACTAAACTAACTTTGGATTAATATACAAGAGCCTAACTCCAAGATTGGCCGTTAATTAACAAAAAGCCGTATGTAGTACAGAGAGCTGCTAAAACTACGATACGTTTAAAATTATCAAGAGGATTAAACCTCTGGCCTTGAAGGCAACCAGCAACCGAGTAAAACTACTATGGCAAGCGGCCTGCTTCTAATAACTCCTTCCTCTCTCTTGTTTGGCAAAAAGCCACAACTTAAGTACTTGGCGTTAGCAAGACAAATTTGCATAAATAAGTTAAAAGCTTTGAATTCTGGCCGGAAGTAGAAAATAAGAAGTGATAGTAAAGATTTAAAATAAAAATAAACGTTAGTAAAACTTGGGATCCTTAGAACCGCTTACCAAAATCGTCTAAAAAATGTGCGAACAGCCTCTGTATTTCCTTTATTTTGTACGAAGATACTTTTTTTATTTTACTTTTTTATAAAAATAGTATCTTACTTTTTTTAACGTTTTGTGTGTTACCTTTATTTTAAATATGATGGTCTCCGTACTTAAACCATAGGTTTAAGTTCAACAGCGATATCGCAAAATTAATTTTAAAATGAGCGTATGCCTTCAGAATTTCTGATACACAGTCTCGCGCGCTAGAGATAAAAATGATCTCCCCCCGGTACAGTGTTTCCCATTGCTCGCTTTGAAATCTGTCGAGTTTGCTAACCAAACATTCGTTTGAAGTTTACACAAAATATGAAATAGATAATGAAACAAATTCCAAATTTGGGCTTCCAGATGCTCATATTCGAGTGGAGAATAACGTTATGCAAAATCTGATGTCTCTAGTCTATCGTTTTTTCACAGTGCGAGAAACATACATACGTTGATGCAGATTCTTCATTATTTGATTTCTTTAAATGTAATTCAGGGCTCTAATATTTGTTGGCAACAATATTTAAAGTGAAACGCCGTTTATAGTGAACAAACGCAAAATGCTAAAATAAAATTAATAGCTCTTCTGGGCAAATTCCTCTAATAAAATAATAATTAAGGCATTCATTAAAAATAATTAAAATTTATAACTGAATGTTCAAAGTTTCATCATTGTTTTAACTCTTTAATAAGATATGCATTTGTACTGTGGGAACACTTACCCGTTTAGAGACCGGCCTTCTTTCAGATTTTAGTAGCAGATTGAGAGTAGAAGCGAGTACCTGTAAATGACGCATGAGATAATGTTCTCGTGTTTGTTTCATGGGAGAATGAGTGTCATGACAGTATTCGATTCTGCTGATACTTCCGTTCGTTCGACAGCTGTTTTAAAGGCTATACGGAAATGAAAGATGTTTCATGTAGAAAGCATAATGATGAAATTTTTAAAAAATCATTTACGCAACAGATTATTTTTATAAGGTAATCTGTTATTTTTATAAGGTAATCTGTTATTAAACTCTGCATTTGTTTTAAGGATTTCATTTTTAAAATTTCCTTATGATATTTTGGAGGTGAAATGACGAGTGTTAAATACTAGATGTTTTATTTTATACTTCATGTAAGAGAGAAAAAGAATAATACGTTTAATTTAATGGCGACCAATGGGCAATAGTGGCCTGCATATATCTTAAATACAGAAAGTTGGTGAATATAGTCCTAAACAGCAAAAAAATCTCTGAGCTAAAGTGTCGATAAAATTATGTTTTAAAGACTGAAATAACTTATATTAATAAAAAACCAAAAATTATATTAATAAAACAACAATAAAAATATTGTTGTTTTATTAATATAACTTTTGGCTTCGAAACTGGATATGTAAAATTTTGCTATTCAAATTCTAGAAAGTTAATTCTGATTTTGACACGTGTCACGATTTGAATGGAACTAAATTAAACTAAAGATAGGGAGGAAAAATGGAATCAAGATTATGATCAGAATAATTTTATGAGTTTTTAATTATCATACATATCTTCATAAATAGGATCTATTCCAAAATTCAATATTATGGTTTATTTTAAAGGTCTCCTTTTTTTCCGCATGCCTTCGCGGTGTAATCAGAAGCATACTCGACGCGTGTTCGAGAGGTCCTTGGTTGTAGTTCCGGCGAGGCCATTGCACATTTTTCATATGTCATGCTTTAAAAATAATAATAATAATAATAAAATAAAAGCTAATGATTCTGTATATTAACTATATTATTTTTTAAATAAAACCGATTCAGTTATTATTTATTTTTTATGGATTTTTGTAGCATAACAACCTTTCATTAATATTCTGTAATTTCCATTTCTTTGTAGTGTTTCGTACATTTAAAACATAAATGAATGCTTAGGTTCATATTTTTTTTAAACATAAAAAGTTATTGTAACTACATTTAAAAGCAAATGCATGAAAAAAGTTTTGCTATTAAGCGATGCTGCCCATCCATGGTTATCACTGCGTTCTCTTGTCATCACTTCATCCTCTTGTTGATTTGCGAGCATCTTTGCTACGCGTCAAGGGCTCTGAGCCAAAAAATAAAATTCAGCTTGGGACAACGCCCCCATTTCGGTACTTTCCATTCACCCTTTCATCCATCCTACAGAAAGTGCTCAGACTTTCTGGCTCGTCCGTGCTGCGCAGCCTTGCTGTTTGACCATGATGCCCTACTGCGATGTGGTTCAGTGGCCGCCTGTGAAAGTGAACCAGATCTACGCGTGAAGCCTCTCAAATTCTGAAAGATTGTTGTGGATGTTGCAACATGTTTTGCTGTGTGCCCGTGTTGACAGGTAGCTGCGTCACGAGTCGATCTACTGCGCATGGCAGGTGAGTAATATTTTCCATGACTTTTACGTGGAAACTTCTATTACGTGTGTTTTACTACTTCTCTTCGCCAAGAGAAGCGCCTTTGTTACTCATGGAAGTATTCCAAGATTTTCATTAGTTGTTTTAATCATTCGAATGGGATCAACTTCGTACTCAGCGCTGTATACATCATCATTAGTTTGTAGCGTTTTGAGTACTGTCTTGAACACAAAATGTCCAATATTTGCTACGCAACGACTGAATATTTTTTAAAAGTAGCCTTGGAAATTATAATTTGCTTGATAATAACTTTCAAGAGCAAAAAAAAAAAAAAAATTTTTTTTTTTTTTTTTTTTTTTTTTTTAATTTTAAATTTTGAATCAGGTGTTCTGCGTTATTTGATTATTCCAAGACATTTCCATTCTAAGACAAAAATTAATAAAATAAAATTGAATATACTGCATTATTTTCTCGCTGCATTAGCCCAGAATGTTTTAATTAATATTAATTTTAATATTAATTGCTGAAACATTTCCTCTCATATAGATATCAAACTTTTTTTAAACTACATATCCTGTTTAAAGTTTATTTCTGAAGAAAGTAAAAAAGAACTTATTTCAGTGGATCATCATTTTTACTTTTATTTTCATACTTACTGTCATCCGAACTTGAAAAGATTTAGGAGAAAAATTTAGCTCGGCAACCGAGACGTTGCTTCTTAAATTTTTGCAAGTATGCTTGTGCTGGGTGCCCTTGTGAACGAACAAGTTGTTGATTTACCGTTTTTATAAAATGAGTTTTGCGTGCAATATAAAATGTGTTTTGTGTGTTGTTTGAAATTTTCTGTCAGTTATTTTCGTTGCCAATGGCCGAGTGGTTAAGACCACTGAATATTGTTAGTTCGACTTGCTTTGGCTTCGAACCCAGACGAACGGACTGGTTGCTTGATTGGTTTTCCTATTTTTCTCCATGTGTAATGTGAATATGAGCCACTTTTCCTCAGGAAATCCTCCACAAAGGCGTTCCTCCTCGTGATTTTAACTTATTCAAGAAACCTAAAAGTTATTTGCGTCAGTTGATTTATTTGGATAGAGTTTTGTATTTTTCGATATTATTCAACATATTTGAGATTTCAGTTGTTTGATTTTAAACCAGTCTAAGTTAAATAGTTAACAAAAACTTTCATTTTAAAGCTAAGTTATGTTCTCATTTCAACATAATTCAAAAGTCCCATAAGTTTTCGAAATATCTTTTTTAATAATAATAATAAATTCGATTAGTAATGGATAGTTGTATCTTATTTTTCGTTCCCCCCCCTAAAAAGATGAATAGGGAGTTTTAATTAAAGATGCTTTTAACTTTATAAAAGCGAAATTATTCATGCCACAGATTAAATCTTTTTAAAGTATTTCTGTGCATCACTGATCCCGAGAGTGTGTGAAATTATATAGTGGTGTGAAATGCATAGCTGTACTGCGAGAAAAGCAGAAATATTTTTATTAAAGAAGGAAAATATTTAGTGTTACGAATAATACGTCTGCCGCGAGATACGTGAAGTTCGAGGACCCACTGGTATACCTAGTTCGAAGTCCTGCAGAACTTTAGGCAACTGGAAGCGAGTTCATTCTAGCAAAAAATTATATTCTATTATATGAGTGGTTCCCAAGCTTTTGTGATTTTTATCAATCATAGAGGCTTGGGAATCACTGATCCTTGACTTTGTTGCAGTGACTTATCCTTAACACCCATGTAATGTAATGAAATTATATGAATTTGGAATTATTAGTGTTATCATTAAATTATTATTATATGACTGCCCACATATTAATTTGAAATTCACCGTGTTGTGTTCTACAGAGCATGTGAAGACGTTTCTCTGTCAGAAAGTGATCTTAAGTATGTACAAGTTTTGCTGTGCTTAGATTTCGCTTTTTTCATTCTAGAAAATACTCTTTTTCTGAAATAAGACGTTGATAATGCATCAGAATTTTGAAAGTTTATTATTTAATTTCGTGATTCGCCGGTTGTTGAACACATATAAATTAAAAGCGAATGCAATTTACCCTGTCAGTAGTTTAAAAATTCTTTTTTTTTTTTTTTTTATTTTTTCCTCTCCCCCACGTACGAAAAATAGTTCACTTTTTTCACAAATAAAAGAGAAGTCCAAAAAAAAAAATAATAATAATAATAATAATAATAATAACGCGTGCTGAAGTCAACGCCGAAATAAAAAATCCGTAAATAGTCTTGCTTCATGTATTACAGGCGAATTGACCATAGGTATAACTCACTGTGTATTTCCGTAAATATATCTGAACTATTGGCTGTACATGATTAAAAATTTTCCTGTTTTATCTGCAACTGAGCTGATGTTATCATTGCTGTTTGATCCGATTAAGAAAGATAAATTTTGCAAGATTAGAAATCTTAAACAATAAATATTCAAATAATTGAACCGTTACTATAATCGTAGCGTTGTGCAAGTGTAGATGGCGACGTATTTCATGTCCACAGAGTAATTAATATCTGTCAGTGTTATTTTTGTTCAGCTTGATACGAATTTGACGGAAGGTCAGATTGCAATATCAGTATTCCCAGACATCCATACTTTTGTGTTTTTTTTTTTTTTTTTTTTTTTTTTTTTTTTTCTTCCGGATATTCAGAAACTGGGCAAGCAAGGATAAACAACAATCCACCATTTTGAATTTGTTGATAAACGACATGCCTGATGCTAAGAGAGGGAATTTTCTTCTAGTACTAGCCTACATATGGCTGTGTGTAAATTCACCGGTAATTTTAATATTAGTGGTTTCATTTATATGCCATTGTATCAAATACTACTGAAACTGAATACTAAGATCACTGAACACTTACTTGTAAATAGTTCTGGATTCGATCCCTAGCAAACAGATCGGCTGCATGAGGTTCTTTTATTTTTCCCGATGTGTAACACGAATACGAATCGTTTCCCTTAGAAAGACTTGCAGAAAAGCCTCTGTTCATCTCTCTTCGGCAGATATCCGTCATCTTTGTTATAATCGTTTAACTAACCAAACTGCTGAAAACAGGGTTTTTCGACAGTCTGGCCCGAGTATCGAATCGTTTTACCTTCTAAAAGCAAGCGATAAGTATCAAGTTTGAACGGTTGAAAGTAAATTAGCTTGATCAATAAATCTCTTTTTCTATTCAATGGATTTTTTTTTTTAGAAAGGGAATTTTTCTGATATAAATTTATAAAGTTTTCTTTAACTGAGAAGCAGTCAGTGTGTCAAAGTTTGAAGCTTAAATTTTACACAGAGTTTATTAAATCATGCGTAAGTTAGAAGAACAGGAACGAATGCAGAAGTGAAATTACTTTTTCAGCTGTACGCTAAAACCACGAATTTGCAAAATCTTGTTTTCCAAGCTGGGCAGTGAGGTATAATGCATTTGATATGTATGAAGCTGTGTTCTGTGCAGTAATTGTTATATGTTAGTTTCATACAGTTGTACAGCGTGTTTCAAAAAGAATAAAGAATTCGAATGCATATATTTATTAAACTGTATGACATACGAATATAAAACTTTACACACATATGTACGAACCTCTCAGGGTCAGATTACAGACGTTACAGAGACACGAACAATGTCACATCGATATTCAAATTCCTCCCATACTCGGTCAAGCATGTCCGTCGTCACTGATGTTATGATAGTACGGATCCCGTTCTTCACCTCTTACACTTTCTCTGGGAGTGGTGGTACGTAAACGTTCGCTTTAATGAAACCTCACAGGAAGAAGTCACAGGGTGTCAAATCCGGTGACTGTGGAGGCCAGCTGAAAAAGTCGCCAGCTCTTTGACGACCAATCCAACGGTTCGGTAGAGTTTCATTCAGATAATCGCACATTTGGCAACACCAGTGAGGGGGGTGCCCCGTTTTGTTGAAAAATGAAGTTGTCTTCGTGCAGCCTCAGAAACAACCAGTTCTGTAACATAGCCAGATACTACTAACCGTGTTTCCATCAAAGAAGAATGAGCCGTAAACAGATGATCGGGATATCGCACAAAACACATTGATTTTGGGCGAATCTCGTACATGTTCAATTGCTGCATGTGGGTTCTGTAGGCCCCGAATTCGAACATTGTGTTTGTTTACATGAAGACTAACATGAAAAATCGCTTCATCACTGAACACGATGCGTTGTGCGAAAGTGTTATCATTCTCAATAGCTTCAATAATCTCGTTACAAAATGCCACACGTTTGCGTTTGTCATCAGGACGCAGAGCCTGTAACAAATGTAACTTGTACGACTTCATAACCAACCGACGTTTCAAAACACGCCAAATTGTTATTGTAGACAGTTGTAACTCACGACTGGCACGACAAGTTGATTTTGAAGGACTACGTTGGGAACAGTTTGAATTCGTGCAACATTTTCGTCGGGAACACGAGGGCGGCCAGGACTCTCCTTTACATACACATCCTGTATTTACAAACTGTCAATACCATCTGTGAATGTTCCACCCATTCGGAGTATCACTTTGGTACCTCAACTTGAAACGTTTTTGCACTGTAATCACGGAAACGCGAAAACACAAAATGATTTCTGCTGCCATTTTAAACACGTGGCGATTACCACGCAAAAAAAAAAGGAGACAACTGACATCTAGCGGCTATTAATATAAACTAGACTATGTATTCGTTCCGCCAATAGCCGAGCCGAGCTGCAGTGATCGATAGTTTGGACAAAATAACACTTTGTAATGCGTATATTCTTTTTGAAACACTCGGGATGGGGGCGTCAGTAACAGAGAAAATACATATAAGGGAACTTAGTGAAAAATGCATATTCGTGATTTATTCAGGGTTTCGACGGTATATAAATGTTTTTTTATGCACCGAAAGCTATTATAAAGTCTTAAAAATATATAAACTGCTAAAATTAATTCCTAACATATATGTAATGGGATGTCTTCGGAAAAGTTGCAATGTATTGGCGATGGTTCTTTGCGTTGTTATAACCAGTGCTGTGGAGTCG